GGAAGGTATATTTGCATTTTCTGCGTGAAAATATATGCTGAACCACCATGTTGTGATCCTAGAATAATGGCCAATAGTTAATATACTATTGCAATCAATAGTATGCAATTTTCTTCCATTTTTCTATGTACCTCCGACCAGAATTCTCTAACGACTCCACAATCCCACCACATGTGTTTAAATGTTCCCACTTTCTTTTGGCATCTCCAGCACTTTTTATCAATCCTTCCCTTACTATACTTCGCTATTTTTTCTGGGGTTTGATACCACAGGTAGAACATCTTTACCAAGTTCTCTTTGATCTCTGTGGCATACACATATTTCAGTTTCTTTGTCCATACCTCCTCCCATTCTGACATGGTGATTGTGTGTCCTACCATTTTGGCCCACTTAATCATGACTACCTTTACCAACCATTTAATTAAGATAAGTTAGAAATGAAACCAAACATATGTTCGCTAGGAAATCCTGGAAGTTAAGGGAAATTTATATGTATATATGTATATATATATCAAGTATGTGCAATGTCATAGGGTAAAGGGGGGTGGGGGGCGAGGCTGGGGTTAGGTAAGTAGGTAGAGAAGTAGGTAAATAGATAGGGATGAATATGAATTGCGAAATTAGGATAATGTATGTAAGAATGTAATATATACGGAAGGAAGTATTCAACCAATAATAATAGTAGCTCTTTTAACTTGTATGTATGTAAGTTATTTGTCCTGTTTAGTCCTGTTTGTCTATTTGTTGGTGTTGTCCAAATCTTTTTCAATAAAAAAATTAATAAAAAAATAGTATGCAATTTTAAAATGAAATTATCGAGTAATCGTTGCAGTGTTTGGACTGTATTGGCTGTTTTAAGAGACACCTAGCAGATGTTGACAATAGATCTAAATCCTGTCTAGTTATTACATCAAAATCTTTGTTCCCAAAAGAACAGAAGTTACTCTCTTTCTCCCTCCTGTTTCAGGCTCAGGGTACAGCATATTTCACCCATCCTGTATTCCAGTGCTCTCCTAGAAAATTACTCTGGGCTTCAGACAACTGTTAAGAATTTTTAAACATGTTATGAATTTGGGGGCGAGGTAGCTGAAGAATGCCATGCGCTTTTCTCTTAAATCTTTGTCATCTCATGGGCTAACTCTAATCCCAGATAACATTGTGCTAAAAATTCCTGCGTCTGGCATTTGGGTGCTTGCTTATTCAAGTGTGTGTGTGTGTGTGAGAGAGAGAAAAAGACAAGACCTAACTAGCCTTTCTTGAATACTTCTTAAAAGATTGGTCATCATGAGCACTGTTGTCTGGTTGGACTTCCAGTTGAGCCTCTGCCCACAAATGCCAGGACCTCTGATGTTGCAGTTTGGGTAGGGTGGGGTTTGCAAAAGCTTTTGTGAACTGAGCCAAAATACCTTTTGAATTTCATCCAGGCTCATAAATAAACTTGGGCCATTCCTAGCTGCCCTGCCCCATTTCATTCCCTCTCAGAAATATACTTTCCAGCAGCACACTGACAGAATCTGAGAACAATGGCAAACTATAATTCCCAGAAACTTCCTGTAGATAAGTCTTCTGGCCTAATGAAGCACTGTTTCTAGAAGGTATATCTGGCGGAGAGGTAATAGGGTTGTGTGCTTACGTTAGGATGAGAAGAAACAGATAGAAAAGAATCTGGAGACAGGCAAATTCCCAGCAGAGCTGAGAAACTGAGGTTTGAAATTTTGGAGAAAAAACAATGTGGAAAGAATGAGTTTGCTTTGAACTAGGATAGACAATATATTGTTGAAGGCTTCCATAGCTGGAATTACTGTGTTCTTGTAGGTTTTTCGGGCTATATGGCCATGTTCTAGAAGCATTCTCTCCTGACATTTCACCTGCATCTATGGCAGGCTTCTTCAGAGGTTGTGAATTAAAATAGACTATATTTATATTAGCAAAAGATTGCAATCAATATTTTGTAAATTGACATTTTGCTACAGTTTCTCATATGTATGGGGACTTTTGGGACACACACACACACACATATAGAGTGTGTGTGTATATATAGTATCAAATATATAAATGCAACACACACAAGTAGGAAGATATATACATAGTTTTTCATATATATAACTTTATATAAATATAAATATGCAGTATACTATACATAACACACACATATACACAACATATACAGTGCACTGCATATTTATGTTTATATATGTCTCTATATAGGCAATCCCTCGTTGACRGAGTAGGATAGTCTTCCAGGATCAGTGTTCTGGTGGGTCCGTAGGTGACTGTGGAGCCCTATTCTTGATCTGACATACATATGAAAAACTATGTGGTGCGTGTATTGTCGAAGGCTTTCATGGCRGGAATCACTGGTTTGTTGTAGGTTTTTAGGGCTATATGGCCATGTTCTACAAGCATTCTCTCCTGACATTTCGCCTGCATCTATGGCAAACATCCTCAGAGGTCGAGAGGTCACGATCTCTGAGGATGCTTGCCATAGATGCAGGCGAAACGTCAGGAGAGAATGCTTCTAGAACATGGCCATATACCCCAAAAAACCTACAACAACCCTGTGATAGACAAGTCTGCCTATATTATGCTATAAAGTGTGTTTAATGGTGATATGTAAGAAATCTGTTGCTGWTCATTTTGTTATTGCAGGATTACTTGGATAAAAATGCCCATAGTTGATGTTAAAAGCAAAGCACACACAACCGGAGCTGATACTTTGAAATAGAACTGTGTTCTGGGAGGTTTTCAAATAATGCAGAATCAGAAGGAATGACTCTTCAGATGACTTCAGGCACTGGGCAGATAGTCAAGGGAGACTTTGTAGTCCCAAGTTAGCAGGGCTTTGTACAATACTGCCAAACCTTAAACCAAGCCTGGTAGCAAATATGAAGTCAGTATAATTTCTTCAGCAAAGGTATTACATGATGATAAATTGCATTTTTAAACAATATTTGGGGTGGGTTGCTGTGAGTTTTACGGGCTGTCTGGCCATGTTCCAGAGGCATTGTCTCCTGACGTTTCGCCTACATCTATGGCAGGCATCCTCAGAGGTTGTGAGGTCTGTTGGAAACTAGGCTAGCAAGGTTTTTATATCTGGAATATCCAGAGTGGGAGAAAGAACTATTGTCTGCTTGAAGCAAGTGTGGATGTTGCAAATTGATTAGCATTTAATGGCCTTGTAGCTTCAATGCTTGGCTGTTTGCTGCCTGTGGGAATCCTTTGTTGGGAGGTGTTAGCTGGCCCTGATTTATTCTTGTCTGGAATTCCCCTGTTTTTGTTTTTTTTAGTGTTGCTTTTTATTTACTGTCCTGATTTTAGAGTTTTTAAAATACTGCTAGCCAGATTTTGTTCATTTTTATGGTTTTCTCCTTTCTGTTGAAAATGTCCTCATGCTTATGGATTTCAATGGCTTCTCTGTGTAGCCTGACATGGTGGTTGTGAGAGTGGTCCAGCATTTCTGTGTTCTCAAATAATATGCTGTGTCCAGGTTGGTGCTCTGCTATAGCTGACTTCTCTGGCTGAAGTAGTCTGCAGTGCCTTTCATGTTCCTTGTTTCGTGTTTGGACAATGCTGCTGCGTTTGGTGGTTCCTCTGTAGACTTGTCCACAACTGCATGGTATATGGTAGACTCCTGCAGCGGAGTTCTTTGCTGAACGTAGCATTTGTTGGATTTTCTTGGTGGGTCTGTAGATAGTTTGTATGTTGTGTTTCCTTATCAGCTTCCCTATGTGGTCAGTGGTTCCCTTGATGTATGGCAAGAACACTTTTCCTCTGGGTGGATCTTTGTCTTGAGTCTCGTGGCTTGTTCTTGGCTTTGCAGCTCTTCTGATGTCTGTGATGGAGTATCCATTGGCCAATAGAGCCCAGTTTAGGTGCTTCATTTCACCTTGGAGGAGGTGGGCTGCTCTTTTCTGCCCTAGTTTCAGGCCATTAAAATGCAATTCACACTAACTTCTGGGTTTGAGGAGTTGTGCTTAGTTAGAGTGAAAGTGTCCCATCGTACCTTAGGAAGGTTGAGTGTTTCTCAGCCTTCCTAATGCTGCGACCCCTTAATACAGTTCCTCATGTTGTGCTGACCCCCAACCATAAAATTATTTTGATTGCTACTTCATAACTAATTTTGCTTCTGTTATGAATTGTAATGTAGATATGCAGGATGAATTCACTGGATCAAATTTTGCACAAATACCTGATATGCCCAAAATCTGAATACTGGTGGGGCTGTGGGGGATTGATTTTGTCATTTGGGAATTGTATTTGCTGGGATTTATAGTTCACCTACAATCAAAGAGCATTCCTGAATTCCATCAACGAGGGAATTGAACCATACTTAGCACACAGAACTCTCACAACCAACAACAAGTACTGGGAGTGTTTGGTGGGCATTGACCTTGAGTTTTGGAGTTGTAGTTCACCTACATCCAGGGAGCACTGTGGACTCAAACAATGATGGATTTGGATCAAACTTGGCACGAATACTCAATATGCCCAAATGTGAACACCTGTGGAGTTTGGGGAAAATAGACCTTGAAATTTGGGAGTTGTAGTTACTGGAATTTATAGTTCACCTGTAGTCAAAGAGCATTCTGAAGCCCACCAATGATACAATTCAGCTCACATATGAACACTGGTGGAGTTTGGGCAAAACAGACCTTGCCATTTGGGAGTTGTAGTTGCTGGGTTTTATAGTTCACCTATAATCAAAGAGCATTCCGAACCCCAGCAGTGATAGAATTGGGCCTAACTTTCCACACAGAAACCATCATGACCAACAGAAAATACTGTGTTTTCTGATGGTCTTTGGCGACCCCTCTGACACCCCCGACCCCCAGGTTGAGAAACGCTGGTTTAGAAGATGTAGTGATTATGGAACCCATGTTCAATTGTGCAAACTTCTCCAAGATCTTTAGCAATAGGGTAGGATAATAAGCTTCAATATCATCTTATATTTGCTGCTGCGGATATCTCCTTGACACTGGTATTTCCCTTCTTTTTTGTAGAATCCAGCAACTATTACCAGGATACTCCTTAGTCATTTCAACTGGGATAAAGAAAAGCTGATGGAGAGGTAAGCAACGTACACTGACTGACAAGTGTTCTTGGTCATCTATGATAATTTTGTATTCTAGTGGCATAAATGGCTGTACGTGAAAGAAATGCTGCGCTCCAGCTTCACAAGCTGTCCATGATAAGGGAAATCAGACAACAGGCTGGAAGATACACAAGGTTAAGATGAGGGCTAGGTTTTGAAAAGTCAAGGGGTGGGATTATGGGAAGCCTGCTGTTCCCAAGAGATTATGTATGCAGGGCACACGTACTACAAGAATGTATGTCTCTCTCGAGATTGGGTGGCTTCTGTATATTGATGTTATTTATCCAAGTGCTGGCTCTTCTGTGTACAAAAAGCACATTTATTGTATTCTTGAGACTCAGCTGTACATTCTGAACAGCATTAGCTAGTTTTAAAGTGGTTTTAAAGCCATGGGAGGGGAAAGCCTGCTCCTGTGACTTCCTATACTTGCAAGTGTTTGTTTTTTTTTTTTTTTTTTTGCATTTAATTCCTACACTTGCAAGTGCTTTTTTGCATTTAATTGCTATACTTGCAAGTGCTTTTTTGCATTTTTTGCATTTAATTCCTACACTTGCACGTGCTTTTTTGCATTTTTTGCATTTAATATATTTGCTCTCATTTGCCTTTAAAACAACAGGTACTTTGATGGCAACCTGGAGAAGCTCTTTGCAGAATGTCATGTAATTAATCCCAGTAAAAAGTCTCGAACACGTCAAATGAACACAAGGTCATCTGCGCAGGATATGCCTTGCCAGATCTGCTATCTGAACTATCCTAACTCGGTGAGTGCCTTCAGAATGGTAAATCGTCGTTTCTAATTCCAGTGCGATGGCTGTGTTGATTTTGGACATCAAAAATGTAGTTGCTGTGTGAGTTGGTATGGAAGATAATTGGTGATTTCACGGCTGGCGGTTTTCGTAGGCATCTGTTAGAATCAAAATAATGTGCTTGGCCTTTCTCTGTCAACAAATCAGAAGAGAATTGATGTCTAGCTACCTTTTCTCTTATGGATTTTCTGTATACAATGAATTAAAATCTAAATTGGGGTGGGAATCGTGTGACCCATAGGCTTATTTTCCCATAGTGAACATGATGCTTCCATCTTTTAATCCAATTTCTATTGATTGTGTACAATACACACAGGTATGTGTATTAAAAACTAATAGAAGACCTTTTAGAAACAAATTAACACCAAGACACTAAGTATGTGATACAGAACTAAGGGCCCTTCCACTTCCCTATATCTATATAAATAAAAATGTAATGATCGTTTGTGGGATTAACATAACTCAAAAACCATTGGGCGAATTGACACCAAAGTTGGACACAATACACTTAGCAGGCCAACGAGTGACCATCACCCCTAAAAACATACACACACAAAAACCAGCAGAATGGACTTTAAAACCCCAAAAATAAACCATATATACATATACAAATACGTTCATACACATATACACAAGCATCCATACATACAGACACACACAAATATACACATATACATACCTACATATACATTATACACACACACACATATGCATATACACATGCACACATACATACAGATACACACACACATATACCTATACGCAAGCACACACAAATATACACACACATATACCCTTACATATACATACACACACATATATATGCACATATATATGCATATATACAAGCACACACATATACACAATATACATATACACATATAAACATAAATACACAAATACATACAAACGTATAATAATAAACACATATATACACACATTACAACGCATGTGCAAAACTATATATATATATATACACGCACGCACACATATACACACACAAAACACATATACACAGACTGGGCCACAGCAACGCGTGGCAGGGGACAGCTAGTCCCAGAATATCAAGACAGAAAATCCCACAGTATCTGCTTTGAACCGGGTTATCTGAGTCCACACTGACATATATTCCAGTCCAAAGCAGATAATGTGGGATTTTAACTAAGAAGCTATTGTAAAAAAAAAATTGTATAAACAGTATAAACAGTATCCAGTTTTCATCGGAAGCGTCTATTTTTGTGTGTATCTGCCTTCAATTTGCCTGTTGGCTTGAAGCGAGGGTTGGCCAGCTAACGCTTGAATCTCAAATCATATGTTATTTTTGCACAAGCCTCAATTAATCACATTGTTGCATACCAGGATATTATGTCTAAATCCAGACACTTTTGAGTCACAACACGATGAGCAACTTAATATTTTTAATGAATCTACATTCTAATCGTTTTACAAGCTAAGATTTCAGTTAATAAATGTCAGGAATATTTTCAATATGCATAAAGATATTTCAGTCTATACTTAAAAATGTCCCTGTTCCAACTTACATACAAATTCAACCTAAGAACAAACCTACAGAACCTATCTTGTTTGTAATATGGAATCTCCTTGTATTTTAAAATACCATAAAGTACCAGATCATAAGATGGTACGTTTTAATTTGTTTTCTCTGTCACGTGTTCTCACCCAGGCAAAGTCATTACTTTCCTTCTACCAATTTAAAAATGGGTTCTCTTTGTGCCTTTCTTTCCTTGCTTTTCGTGGTATATCATCATATTGTAATCCGGCAGTCTTATGAGGAGCTAAAATTCACTTCCTCCCAACACAACATTAACAATGACTGTGCTATCTGGGGATTATCAGAATTGCAGTCCATCTCTTCTGAGTGATGCCAAGTTGAAGAAAGATGTCCTTACCTTTTAAGATTTTTGACTTAAGTATTCCGTCTGTTATTTTTATGTTCTGAGACAAGTTTGTCATTCAAAAGAGCTACCTGAGCAGAATCTGATCAGAAATAAGAACCACTTAGTTTTGTCAGACTCACTTCCAAGAAGGTTTGTCTAAAGTAGGACACTTCCCCCTTTTGTTTTGGCAGGAGCATGAATTATATATCTGAATCTCTTTCCACTGAAGCCAGTTGTGCTTAAAGATGCTTAAGGCCATTGGACACTGTGAATTAAATTCCAAGCATTTACAGTTTTTATTTCAATATGGTAACATATAATTTAAGGCAGTGTTTCTCAACCTGTGGGTCGGGACCCCGTGGGGAGGGGGGGCGAGGGGGTGTCAGAGGGGTCACCAATGACCATCAGAAAACACAGTATTTTCTGTTGGTCATGGGGGGTTCTGTGTGGGAAGTTTGCTCTTTGACTGTAGGTGAACTATAAATCCCAGCAACTACAACTCCCAAATGTCAAGGTCTATTTTCCCCAAACTCCACCAGTGTTCACATTTGGGCATATTGAGTATTTGTGCCAAGTTTGGTCCAGATCCATCGTTGTTTGAATCCATAGTGCTCTCTGGATGTAGGGGAACTACAACTCCAAAACTCAAGGTCAGTGCCCAACAAACCCTTCCAGTAATTTCTGTTGGTCTTAGGAGTTCTGTGTCCCAAGTTCGGTTCAATTCCATTGTTGGTAGAGTTCAGAATGCTCTTTGATTGTAGGTGAACTATAAATCCCAGCAACTACAACTCCCAAATGACAAAATCAACCCCACCCCCAAACCCCACCAGTATTCAAATTTGGGCGTATCGGGTATTTGTGCCAAATTTGGTCCAGTGAATGAAATACATCCTGCATATCAGATATTTACATTATGATTCATAACAGTAGCAAAATGACAGTTATGAAGTAGCAACAAAAATAATATTATGGTTGGGGGTCACCACAACATGAGGACGTGTATTAAGGGGTCGTGTCATTAGGAAGGTTGAGAAACACTGACTTAAGGATAAATATTTTGGAAAAATGAGGAAGAAAAATTGTGGCAACTGAGCAATTGGAAATACCTATCCAAGCTTACATTTTCCTTCTGAAGTAGAGGAAAGCTTATGAATAGACATTAGTGATGCTTTGTTTTTCCCCCTCATTAAACATTTCCTAATTTCATTTCCCTCCCTTCTGTCTCTGTTTACTGTCTTGTGATCAGGCCTCTGCTGCTTGGAAACTTCTTAGGAAATGCTATGTATGCGGGTGCTGGCCAAACACAAGTAGAGCTGCTCATGTAGGATGGCATGGCTTTATGAATGTCACTTTGATGCTCAGCACATTGCTTGCAGAATAGAGAAAAGCTCAGCGCCAAAATGCTGATGCTACAGTCAACTTCAAAAGACTTGTAAAAAGCCAGAAATATTGTCTCCTCCAGAGAGTTCAGTGTTTTTGAGACGAAGCATAAGAACTTAACAATGGTCTTCCTTGATCAGGCTAAGATGCTTCTAGGATAATGTTTCTCAACCTTCCTAATGTTGTGGCACCTTAACACAGTTCCTCATGTTGAGGTAACCCCCCAATCATAAAATTATTTTTGTTGCTATGTTACAACTGTAATTTTGCTACTGTTATTAATCATAATATAAATAATCTGATATGCAGGATGTATTTTCATTCACTGGACCAAATTTGGCACAAATATTCAATACACCCGAATTTGAATACTGGTAGGATTGGGAAGGGGGATTAATTTTGTGATTTGGGAGTTGTAGTTCCTTGGATTTATAGTTCACCTACGATCAAAGAGCATTCTGAACTCCACCAACGATGGAATTGAACCAAACTTGGCACACAGAACTCCCATGACCAATAGAAAATACTGGAAGGGTTTGGTGGGCATTGATCTTGAGTTTTGGAGTTGTAGTTCACCGACATCCAGAGAGCACTATGGACTCAAACAGTGATGGATCTGGACCAAGCTTGGCACAAATATTCAAATATGTCCAAGAGTGAACACTCGTGGAGTTTGGGGAAAATAGACCTTGACATTTGGGAGTTGTAGTTGCTGGGATTTATAGTTCACCTACGATCAAAGAGCATTCTGAACTCCACCAATGATGGAATTGAACCAAACTTGGCACACAGAACTCCCATGACCAACAGAAAATGCTGGATGGGTCTGGTGGGCATTGACCTTGAGTTTTGGAGTTATAGTTCACCTACAACCAGGAAGTACTGTGGACTCAAACAATGATGGATCTGGACCAAACTTAGCATGAGTACTCAATGTGCCCAATGTGCCCAAATGTGAATACTAGTGGAGTTTGGAGAAAATAAACCTTGACATTTGGGAGTTGTAGTTCACCTAGAACAAAAGAGTATTCTGAACCTCACCAATGATAGGATTGGACCAAAGTTCCCACACAGAACCTCCATGACCAACAGAAAATACTGTGCTTTCTGATGGTCTTTAGCAACACCTCTGACACCCCGTCGTGACCCCCGCAGGGGTCCCGACTCCCAGGATGAGAAACGCTGTTCTAGGACGTATTTTGGTAGCATACAGGCTTTCTATGTTATTGGATCGCAGCTCCCATGTTATATGTTTTAGAAGGTATTTTAAATTGTTGTATTTTATTGTTTTTATTAAATTTATGATGTTGTGTATATTGTGTACTCATATGTTTTGTTTTGCACTTGCTGTATTTTGCATGTCACATCTTGAGTGTTTTGTGAGCCGCCTCGAGTCCCTCTGAGAGATGGTGGCGGAATATAAATCAAAGTTTATTATTATTAAGGTGGCTTGGTGCTGTTTTGGCATATTGCACTATTGTAACTTCTGGATTGGAGATCTATGTATCTTGTCCTTCTCTAATTCTAAATTGTGATCTTTTATGTCATGGTCTATGATGGGTATACTTTGGACTTAGAATCAAAACAGAAACTAGATGTGGGAGGAGATAAGACTACTGGCTCAGGGAATAAATATGCCTAGATTCGTGGGTGCTTGAAAAGCTGCAAGAAAAGTGCTGAATCATTGATGATATACAGAGAAGGGGCTGGTATTTAGAGAAGTTGCTCACGCAGGAGCCAAGAATTATTTATAGCATTCTCTTTCCTTCCATTTCTTTGTAGTATTTCACTGGCTTGGAGTGTGGACATAAGTTTTGCATGCAGTGCTGGAGTGAATATTTAACTACCAAAATAATGGAGGAAGGCATGGGACAGGTAAAACACATTTTTCTTTCATTGTTTATCTATCTATCTATCTATCTATCTATCTATCTATCTATCTGTCTTTGGAGGAAAAGTGATTTAACATTGGGTTCACACATGTGGCTGTAAGCATTTCACTTTTGAATTTTAGACTTTCTCCCAGCTTCCTGCCTGGGTTTGGGTAATAATAAAAAACAACAACAACTTTATTCTTGTATCCCACGACCATCTCCCCGAAGGGACTTGGGGCATCTTACACATCTTACAAAACAGAACATAAAATAAGACACAATCTAAAATACAATAGAATAAAATATATAGGCATATAAAACAACAACTTAAGACTTAATAAAACAGCACTCAATAACCAATGGCAATAAACTACTGTAAATGTGGCCAGGCTGTAAACAATAGGACAAGGGAATGTGCAAAGTTGAAACCATGGAACAAGGGCATGGGAAGAAGTGCAATGCTGGATAACTATTGCTTAGAACAACTAGAGCAGGGGTCCTCAAACTAAGGTCCGGGGGCCAGATGAGGCCCTCCAAGGTCATTTACCTGGCCCTCGCTCAGGGTCAACCTAAGTCTGAAATTACTTGAAAGCACACAACAACAATCCTATCTCATCAGAGATAGTTTATATTTGTTAAAATTGTTCTTCATTTTAATTATTGTATTGTTTTAAAGTGTTTTTGCACTACACTTGTTTAAAGTGTTATGCATAGGAATTAATTAATGTTTTTTGCAAATTATAATCCGGCCCTCCAACAGTTTGAAGGACTGTGACCTGGCCCTCTGTTTAAAAAGTTTGAGGACCCCTGAACTAGAGACTAAGCATTCTTGTAAGCTTGTTTGAACACCCAAGAAGGGCAGTGTGGGGGCCTGCCTAATCTCCCTGGGGAGGGCGTTCCAAAGATGTGGGGCCAACACCGAGAAGGCCCTCTCCCTCGTCCCCACCAACCGTGCTTGTTGACGGTGCAGGACTTATACAGAAAATAGAAAATAATAGAATTCAGCGTATAATTGTATAAACTTGTTATACTGTTCAAAATCACAGTAATCACAAACAATGTTATATGGGTTTTTGTACAATCATTCACATTTGAATATACTTGCAAAGTTATAAACTTAACACTTATTATATACATCAACACTTGCTGCAAATATATCCACTGGACATTCTATGCTAACATATTTAAAGGTACTTACAAAGTTATAAACTTGACACTTGTTCTCCTTAGAGATACAGGCTTTTTACTTAGAGGGATCTAAACCAAAGGAACAAAATGTGGCTGTAAACATTTGAAAATTACATATACTAACAATGATTTTTTTGTTAAAATATAAATGTATTTTACAAAACAAGAGTGTACAAGTTTATACAATTATACGCTGAATTTTATTATTTTCTATTTTCTGTCTAAGTGGGATATTTGTTGAACCACAAATATTTGGCTCTGGCTAACTGAAACTCCTGAAGCCACAGTTAATGTTTTATATTGCAGTGGGTTTTCGAGTCATGGTCTAGGAAGCCACTTTCCCCCTTCTGTTTGAGAAGATTGCATATTTTCTGAGGAATATACTGGAAGATTTTCCTGATGAGGCAACCTTAGCTAGAGGGTCACTAGTTCCTGTGATAGATTAATGAAATATTCATTCTCTCTTCATTTGCCTCATCCACAGACTCTCTCTGCCTCGCCCTACCAAAAGAGGACTAGATAGTTATTGCTAGAAGTCTGAACTAATCAGTTGCAGAGAGGTTTTGAAATTAAGCCATTGTTTCTACCCCTGGGTTAGACTTTTCAGACCGAGCTCTTGGTTTGCTAAGGTGTTACAGCCATCTTGGGTGGTAGAAATGGTGTTATTTCGCACTGTTTATTTTACTTGAATGATTTATTTAGTCAGTTGTGATGTTATTTCTTGTTGATCTGTATTTTATTTTGCTGTAATGTACTGCCTCATGTAAGCCGCTTCGAGTCCCCTTGGGGAGATGTGGCGGGGTATAAATAAAGATTATTATTATTATTATTATTATTATTATTATTATTATTATTATTGTTTTAAACTTGTTTAGCCCAGGGGTCCTCAAACTAAGGCCCAGGGGGCCGGATAAGGCCCTCCAAGGTCATTTACCCAGCCCTCGCTCAGGGTCAACCTAAGTCTGAAATGACTTCAAAGTACACAACAATAACAATCCTATCTTATCAGCCAAAACCAGGCCCACACTTCCCATTGAAATACTAATAAGTTTATAGCTGTTAAAATTGTTCTTCATTTTAATTATTGTATAGTTTTTAAGTGTTTTTTGCACTACAAATATGATATGTGCAGTGTGCATAGGAATTCATTCATGTTTTTTTCAAATTATAATCCAGCCCTCCAACAGTTTGAGGGACTGTGACCTGGCCCTCTGTTTAAAAAGTTGAGGACCCCTGCTCTAGAGGGTATAAATAAAGATTGTTGTTGTTATTATATTATTATTATTGGGTTGTTGTTCGGGCTATATAGCCATGTTTTTTTGGGCTATATGACCATGTTCTAGAGGTCCTCACAACCTCTGAGGATGCTTGCCATAGATGCAGGCGAAACATCAGGAGAGAATGCCTCTAGAACATGGCCAACAAACAAATAAAAAAACCTACAACAACCCAGTGATTTTGGCCATGAAAGCCTTCGACAATACATTATTATTATTATTATTATTATTATTATTATTATTATTATTATTATAATTTTTGAGTATACACAGTTCTTTGGAGGTTCCTCTTTGATGACCAAAGTAATCCAATATCCTTCTGTTTTTCTCTGTCTCCTGCTCGATCCTCACCAGACAATTTCATGCCCTGCTCATGGCTGTGATATCTTGGTGGATGACAATACAGTTATGTAAGTATGACAGTTGAGATGTGTTTTCAGATCAAGCTTGCTTCCTCTTTTAAATCCTAATTACAAGCTTCTGCTCAAAGTTGCTTCAGCTTTTGTGTCAATCAAGGGCGCTTGCATCTGTGGGTGTCTCATCATCAATGGCCTCCTCCCATATTTGTGTAGTAGCAACTACAGTGTGGTTTTCACTGCCATCTCCTTCACCTCTGTGTTTGCAGTGTGTGCTCTAACACAAAGGAACAGGAATGTGGGTTACAAGATGTCAAAATCAAGGTCTTTCATGGCAGGGTATTGATATTAACAATACCTGATCGCCCAGAGGAAGTACATTTAGTTCCTTTGGTTTCAAGGAGTGGTAACGTTTATGAGCCATAGAAACATGAGCCACTGAGTCATGCTTTAAACAAACAAATAAAAAGTCTGCATTGTTGTGTGGCTTGCATACTTATTTGCCCCACTTTTTGGTCTGTAAGGACATCGTGCGTCAGAGAGCATCCGTTCCCATCTGGACGTTAATGGGCTGTTGGCCTTTAAAGCCTGTAAAGAGTCATGCATAAAGTTGCAGAACATTGAAGTTCTCAATAGCTACTTTCACAGGCTTGGAGCAAGAGGATTTTGAAGAGCAATTAGGTCACCCAATAAATCAAGTTCTTGGTCTCAACTCCCTTGTAGTACATGTATTAGTCAGTTACATTGTGTAATCCATTTCAGGAATATAATGCCGGATGCTTCATTTCTTGATGTTTGCAGTACTTGAAAACAATGGTTCTCAACCTTCCTAACGCTGTGACCCCTTAATGCAGTTCCTCATGTTGTGGTGACCCCCAACCACAACATTATTTTTGTTGCAACTTCATAACTGTAATTTTGCTAATATTATAAATCATAATGTAAATATCTGATATGCCGGATGTATTTCCATTCACTGGACCAAATTTGGCACAAATACCTAATACACCCAAATTTGAATACTGGTGGGGTTGGGGGTGGGGATTGATTTTGTAATGTGGGAATTGTAGTTGCTGGGATTTATAGCTCATTTAAATTCAAAGAGCATTCTGAACACCAATGATGCAATTGAACCAGACTTGGCACACATAACTCTCATGACCAGCAGAAAATACTGGAAGGGTTTAGTGGGCATTGACCTTGAGTTTGGGAGCTGTAGTTCACCTACGTCTCAAGAGCACTGTGAACTCAAACAATGATATATCTGGATCAAACTTGGTATGAATACTCAATATGCCCAAATGTAGACACTGGTGGAGTTTGGGGAAAATTAGACCTTGACATTTGGGAGTTGTAGTTACTGGAATTTATAGTTCACCTGCAATCAAAGAGCATTGTGAAGCCCACAAGTGATACAGTTCAGCCAAACCCCCATGCTCCACTGTAAATACTGTGTTTCTGATGGTCTTTGGCAACCCCTTTGACATCCCCTCGCGACCTCCCTAGAGGTCCCAACCCCCAGATTGAGAAACACTGCTTTAAAAGGTGCTTTGGTCTATTACCAACAGCTTTTTCCAACTTTTTGCTAGCCTTCTGTTAGAAAAGTTTGAGGACCCCTGGGTTCAACCCTTGTGCTGGCAGGATAGGTCAGCAGTTCAAATCCGGGGAGAGCAGGTTGAGCTCCCTCTTATCAGCTCCAGCTCCCCATATGGGGACATGAGAGAAGCCTCCCTCAAGGATGGTAAAACATCAAATATCTGGGCAACATCCCCTGGGCAACGTTCTTGTAGACAGCCAATTCTCTCACACCAGAAATGACTTGTAGTTTATCAAGTCGCTCCTGGCATGGAAAAAAAATCGCTATCTTGATAGGTTTAGGGTTACCAAAAGCCTTAAATGCGGTCATGAAATCAATCTGTAACCCGCCTTGAGTCGCCATATGGTTGAGAAAGGTGGACTATAAATGTAATGAAAAATAATAATGCCAGCACTTGGATCTCTTGTCACTCTGATTGTATGATCTATGAAATAAACACACGTGTGAAGCATTGACTTCTTGAGTGCCCAAATGTGTCTTCAGTGATTTCTCTCTCTCTCTCTTTATAGGCGCCTGATCACAGATTCCAAAGTTAAATTAAAGTACCAGCATTTAATAACTAATAGTTTTGTAGAGGTAAGTATTAATTTAAAAACTGTATATGGAGGAGTCTGACTGTTTGAGGAGTTGTCACTATTCCCGTCTATTGCAGCATGTATTTAAATGCAGTCAATTAAGTTTGGGCAAATTTTGAGCAAAAGATATTAATTTTATCAAAAGCTCAGCTGAAGATTCCACGTACATTTATTAGGTTTAGTTTGCATTATTTGTAGTCAATGTGATGAGAGACTAAGTGGAATCGAAGTAGCTTCTGTTAGGTGAACATCCAGGACTCGCTAACTAATTCTGCGAAATGGTCTTTGTACTTTTCAGAATTTGGGTGTTAGTAAGAGGTGAGGCTGATGATCTTTCCTTGTATCAACATGGGAGTTTGCAATGATACTTTGGCCCACAGGAGACTGATGGGAATATGGAAGGGAAGGGCTGTCCTATCATCCAGTATCTCTTGTTGTTGCACTTAACACCTATTGACTCAAGTCTTGCTGCATAATAAGACTTAGCGGCTATGTGTGTGTAGGGCTGCATCTTTTCTTCTGGATGTCCTCCTTGTCAAGATCTCCCATTTTATCTCTTCAGTGCAATCGACTGTTAAAATGGTGTCCTGCTCCAGATTGCCACCATGTTGTTAAAGTTCAGTATCCTGATGCTAAGCCTGTTCGCTGTAAATGTGGCCGTCAGTTTTGGTAAGCAAAGCATTATGTCCGTTGGTTGTTTCCGATTTCCAAAGTCAGTTTGCACTAACTATACTCATAGATCCTCTTGAAATTTTATTTCTTTATTTCTTTACTATATTTGTATATCGCCTTTCTCAGCCTTATCGGCAACTTAGTGGCGAACTACTTTCATTATTATAATTTTTAAGAAGACAGGCCCACACAGTTGTTTTCCATGAGCTGAGTACAGTGGTCCCTCACATATCACTGGGGTTACATCCCAGGACCACCCGCAATTAATGAAAAACCATGAAGTAGGGATGCCCCCTCCCCTCCTCACACTCTTTACCTTTCTCCTCCTCCTCCTCGTTGCCGCCTGGGCTCTTGCTGCTGCTTGGGCCTGCGATTGAGGAGGCGGTGAAGGTGTTGCGGGGCCCAAGCAGTGGCAAGAGGCCCTGGCGGCAACGAGGAGCAGGAAGAGGAAGGTAAAGGGTTCGAGGAGGGAAAAAGACCTCTTCTTGCCCTCTTTACCTTCGTCTTCCTGCTCCTCGTCGCCCCGGCAGTGACGAGGATCAGGAAGATGAAGGTAAAGGGAGCGAGGAGGGAGAAAGACCACTGCCTTGCCCTGGCAGTGATGAGGAGCAGGAAGACGAAGGTAAAGGGAGAGAGGAGGGGAAAAGACCGCCGCCTCGCCCTGGCAGCGATGAGGAGTAGGAAGACGAAGGTAAATGGGGCGAGGGGGGGGGGAACCACCCCCTCACCCTCTTTATTTTCGTCTTCCTGCTCCTTGTCGCCTCGGCAGCAACGAGGAGCAGGATAGACGAAGGTAAAGGGGGCGAGGAGGGAAAAAGACCACCCCTCGCCCTCTTTACCTTCGTCTTCCTGCTCCTGGCAGTGACAGCAGTGATGAGGATCAGGAAGACAAAGGTAAAGGGGGCGAGGAGGAAAAAGGACCGCCGCCTCACCCTGGCAGTGACAAGGAGCAGGAAGACGAAGGTAACTGGGGTGAGGAGGGGAAAGGACCATCTCCTTACTCTCTTTACCTTTGTCTTCTTGCTCCTCATTGCCGCCCTGGCAGCAACGAGGAACAAGATAGATGAAGGTAAAGGTGGTGAGGAGGGAAAAAGACCGCCACCTCACTCTCTTTACTTTTGTCTTCCTGCTCCTTATTGCTCCTTATTGCCCCGGCAGCGATGAGGAGCAGGATAGACGAAGGTAAATGGGGCGAGGAGGGACAAAGACCAACCCTCGCCTTCTTTACCTTCGTCTTCCTACTCTTCGTCGCCCCGACAGTGATGAGGATCAGGAAGATGAAGGCAAAGGGGGCAAGGAGGGGAAAAGACCGCCCCCTCACCCACTTTACTTTCCTCTTCTTCCTCCTCCTCATCGCTGCCTGGGATTCTTGCCGCTGCTTAGGCCCCGTGATTGAGGAGCTGGCAGAGGCGGCGCGAGGCCCAAGCGGCGATGAGGAGAAGGAAGAGGAAGGTAAAGAAGGTGAGGGGGCAGCTCTTCCCTCCTTGCTACAGTGTTCCCTCACTACTTTATTTTTTTTAAAAAACACAAAATAGCGAATCTGCGGTAAGTGAACCGCGAAATAATGAGGGAACACTGTATGGCCTGCTCAGGGCTGACAAAGCCATTCCTTCTTTGGTCCCTTCACCCCCCCCCCCCCTTTCTTTTTGCTGCATTGCTTGGATTGCAAACATGGGAATTGTATAGTACATTGCTTTATAGCAGGTATTTGCAAACTTCGGTCCTCCAGGTGTTTTGAACTTCAACTCCCACAATTCCTATCAGCCTGATGGCTGTTAGGAATTGTGGGAATTGAAGTCCAAAACACCTGGAGGGCCATAGTTTGCCCGTGCCTCCTTTATCCGCTATTTGATGGGTTCATAATGGAGGCATACACTAGAGCAGTAGTTCTCAACCCGTGGGTTCCCAAGTATTTTGGCCTACAGAAATCCTAACAAGTTTAGCATTTTTGGGAGTTGAAGGCCAAAAGATCTGCGGAATCACTGCAGTAGAGAATCTTCCAGGTTCTGGCGCTGCTTCCCTGTGGATTATGATATGCAACACTCGCCCTTTTGTTTTTATACAGCTTTAACTGTGGTGAAAACTGGCATGATCCTGTTAAGTGCAAGGTGAGTACAATTGTCTTTCTGTCCCAATTGTATGTATGTCGAGAGTCAAAACAATATAATTTCCTGCTTAACTATTTCAGTGGCAATGCAGGAAGTCAAGAACATTTATGGACTGGAACAAAGTGCAATATTATCTGACAGGATGCCACAAAATGTGAATGTATACTATTGTTGTATTGTTGAAGGCTTTTATCGCTGAAATCACTGGGGTGTTGTGAGTTTTCCGGGTTCTGTGCCCATGTTCCAGAAGCATTCCCTCCTGACATTTTGCCCACATCTATGGCAGGCATCCTCAGAGGTTGTGAGGACTGTTGGAAACTAGGAAAATGGGAATTACATATCTATGGAATGTCCAGGGTAGGAGAAAGTACTCTTTTCTGTTTGAGGTCGATGTCAATGTTGAAATTAATCACCTTAATTAGCATTTCATGGCCTAGCAGTTTCAAGGTCTGGCTTCTTACAGCCTTGGGAATCCTTTGTTGGGAGGTGATTAGCTGTCCCTGATTGTTTCTTGTCTGGAATTCCCCTGTTTTTTTAGTGTTGTTCTCTATTTACTGTTACGATTTTAGAGCTTTTTAATACCGGTAGCCAGATTTTATTCACAACCTTTAAGGATGCCTGCCATAAATGCAGGCGAAACATCAGGAGAGAATGTTTCTACCACATGGCCATACAGCCCAAAAAACTCACAACAACCCTATATTATTGTTGTTGTAAATTGTTATTTAAGGATGTTCTATACTTATTATCAATGTATTTGGATTGTTGTTTACATGATATTAATATGTGGCATGCTGCTTTGGGTCCTGTGGGGGAGAAAGCGCAATATAAATAATAATGTATTATTATTATTATTATTATATTATTATTTTATACATCTCAACTCTCAGACTAGATATCATATGAAAGTTGAATAAAAAGTAATGCCTCCACCTTTGTAACTACTCAACAGATGGTAGTACTGGTATGAGGCAGGTTCAGTAGACTCTCCTCTACAGTTCCATTTTGGCGGGAAGCCTTAGCATTGAACAGTTGTTGTTAAAGTGCGAAGTATGGAACCGTATGCAGACGGTCAATCAATGCAACTTAAGCACAATGTGCAGTCATTGAATTCTTGACAGCAGAAGGTGTCACCTCAACATCTTTAAACTTACTCGCCCAACGACGCACAGTACTCACATCAACACAATCCCCATAAACAGCTTGCATTCTCTGATGAATCTCCTTTGGGGTGACACCTTCTGCTGTCAAGAATTCAATGACTGCACGTTGCTTAAGTCGCATTGACCAACCGTCTGCACAGGGTTCCATACTTCGCACTTTAACAACACAACCGTTCAATGCTAAGGCTTCCTGCCAAAATTACTTTAACAACACAAACATTCAATGCTAAGGCTTCCTGCCAAAATGGAACTGTAGAGGAGAGTCTACTGAACAAGCCAGTACCTGCCACATACCAGTACTGCCATCTGTTGAGGAGTTACGAAGGTGGAGGCATTACTTTTTCTGCTAAGGCTTCCTGCCAAAATGGAACTGTAGAGGAGCGTCTACTGAACAAGCCAGTACCTGCCGCATACCAGTACTGCCATCTTGAGGAGTTACGAAGGTGGAGGCATTAATTTTCATTCAACCCTCGTATTACCTTATTTTAAATTACAGGTTGAGCAGATGTTTGTTTATATCTGGAAGCCCTTTTATGGAATGACAGAATATTGCCAGTATTGGCTGCTCTGTGATTGGACATTTCCTTTTCTATTGTGTTCACTTAGCTAATTGTTTACTCAGCTTCCACCCAGTTTATGAGCAGTTGTTTGTCAGTTTCGGTATCTTGATGTTGTTGTTGTTTTTGTTTTGTTTACATAGCCCATGAGCTATGAAATATGCATCCATGTTTAGAGATAAACTATAATGGCTCTGGAACCATTCTACTCTTGTTTCTTCACAGTGGTTAAAGAAGTGGATTAAGAAGTGTGATGACGACAGTGAAACTTCTAATTGGATTGCAGCAAATACAAAGGTTGGGTGGTTTCAATTTCTCCCAAAAGTCATAGAAAAAAAATTCACACTGAGAGCTACGAAGAAGTTCCCTGACAAATCTTACACAAAATTTTGTGAATAGTGAAGCATAGTTCCCCCATGTAAATAATGGAGATACAGTTTTCCCCTAATGTTTCTTGTAGGTTCAATATTTCCTTTAGGTTTTCTCCTGCCTTTGGCCACTCAGAGAAGGGATCCTTCCTTCTCTGGTAAGAATTAACCTCGCATTGATCCTTAAATAAGTCCATCCTGGATAAGTCCAACCACGTTTTTTGCATTGGTTTGTTGAGGCAACCTAATACATCTATATAAATAAAAATGTAATGTCCGTTTGTGGGATTAACATAACTCAAAAACCACTGGACAAATTGAGACCAAATTTGGACACAACACATCCATCAGAACAACAAGTAACCATCACTCATAAAAACACTGAAAAATACAGCAGAAGAGACTTAAAAAGCCAAAAAATAAAAATTGTGTTACAACGCATGTGCAAAACCACATATACACATACACACAAATATATACACACACAAAATACATATACAGACTGGGCCACAGCAACGTGTGGCAGGGGACGGCTAGGGAGTATCTATAGTAGTACTTCCAAATGTGGTAGGAAACATAAGCTCCTTTATCAGGCCAGGCCAAGTGGCCCATCTAGTAATGTATTATCTATGCCAGGTTTTGGGCCCACTGGTGGTGCGGTGGGTTAAATCGCTGAGCTGCGGAACTTGCTGATTGAAAGGCTGCAGGTTCAAATCCGGGGAGTGGGGTGAGCTCCCGGTGTTAGCCCCAGTTTCTGCTATCCTAGCAGTTCAAAAACATGCAAATGTGAGTAGATCAATAGGTACTGCTCGGGCTGGAAGGTAATAGTGCCCTATGCAATCATGCTGGCCACATGACCTTGGAGGTGTTTATGGACAACGCCGGCTCTTCGGCTTAGAAATGGAGATGAACACTGCCCCCCGAGAGTTGGACCCAACTAGACTTAATGTCAAGGGGAAACCTTTACCTTTTATACAATTCCTTCTCTGTAGCCTTAAACTGAATGAAGATGTTTTGCTTTGGACAAAAAATGACAATTGTGCCTGTGTGCAATTGCCACCAGATATACAATTCCTTGGGAGGCCCTGGTGGCGCAGCAGGTTAAACCGCTGAACTTGCTGACCAAAAGGTTGCCGGTGCAAATCCGGGGAGCGGGGTGAGCTCCTGCTGTTAGCCCCAGTTTCTGCCAACTTAGCAGTTCGAAAACATGCAAATGTGTGTAGGTCAATAGGTATTGCTTCTGCGGGAAGGTAACGGCGCTCCATGCAGTCATGCCGGCCACATGATCTTGGAGATGTCTATGGACAACGCCGGCTCTTCAGCTTAGAAATGGAGATGAGCACCGCCCCCCAGAGTTAATGTCAGGGGAAGCCTTTATTATTACAGTTTTCGGGAAACATTGGGTCTTGTATTTTACAGCTCACAGTCCCTTATTAGCTATGCAACTTATGGTTTCAAGGAGTTCGAATTCAAAACATCTGGAGGGTTAAGGATCCTTATCCTTGCTATGCAGTATCTATATTCAGGATTTCTGAAAGGAGCATTTCCCTTCCCTACCTACAGATTCCAGGGATGTTTTGTGTGCAGAGCAGCTGAATTATAAGGATGAATTTTTGCACTTGATTGCTTAGGCCAGGAATGTCAAGCTTGTGGCCCTCCAGATGTTTCAGACTCCTAACTCCCAGAAGCCCTTGCCAGCTTGTCCAGAGATTTTGAGCACTAAGTCCAAAACATCCGTAGGGCCATAAGTTCCACCTTGTCTCCTGTGCTATGCTAATAATGTAATGTAATGTAATATATTTATGTATTTATTTCACACATTTCTACCCCGCCCTTCTCAACCCCCGAGGGGGGACTCAGGGCGGCTTACAAAAGGCGCAATTCTATGCCTACACAATAATACAGATAGACATATATAAACAGCAATTAAAACAGTTATAACAGTTAATATATAACAATATAATATAATATATTGTAATATATTATAATGTAATGCAATATAATAATAATAATATGGTATTATAATTATATATTTATATTATATGTAACAATATTAATAATATTACAATATAATGGTATAGCACAATATAGTAATATATAATACTGATATTGTGCTATGATAATAATATAATATATTGTATATATATCTTGTAAGCTGCTCTGAGTCCCCTTTGGGGTGAGAAGGGCGGGATATAAATGCCGTAAATAAATAAATAGATACATAAGTTTGTCACTTCTGACTTAGCATAACAACAGGGAATGTATCTTCGAAGAGTCCCTGCTTCAAATGCATGAAGTGTCTGCACTTCCCCTGGCAGAGAGTTCCTTGCTGCATGCCTTCTTACCAGCCTTCTTTCCCTTTGCAGGAATGCCCTAAATGCCACGTGACCATCGAAAAGGATGGCGGCTGCAATCACATGGTCTGTCGGAATCAGAATTGTAAAGCAGAGTTTTGCTGGGTGTGTCTCGGCCCTTGGGAGCCACATGGGTCTGCCTGGTAGGTTTCAAAGTATGTTTTTTGAACTTGCCTTGGTGAGTCTGGTAGCACTTTATTTTATGCTTGTGACCTACATAAAAGATGTTCTGTAGAGGCAGAAGGACAAAGTAGTATATATTCTGTGAGCATGAAAGAGTTCCTCTGTCTGTATTTATTAGGGGCAGAAAAACTGGACTGTTCTGTTCCGCAAGCATTATCGTAATATGTGATATGCAGGATGTATTTTTATTCACTGTACCAAGTTTGGCACAAATATCCCATATGCCCAAATTCGAATACTGGTGGGGTTGGGATTGATTTTGTCATTTGGGAGTTGTAGTTGCTGGGATTTATAGTTAACCTACAATCAAAGAGCATTCAGAACTCCACCAACAATGGAATTGAACCAAACTTGGCACACAGAACTCCCATGACCAACAGAAAATACTGGTAGGATTTGGTGGGCGTTGACCTTGAGTTTTAGAGTTGTAGTTCACCTACATCCGGAGAGTACTGTGGTCTCAAACAGTGATGAATCTGGACCAAACTTGGTACGAATACTCCATATGCCCAAGTGTGAACACTAGTGGAGTTTAGAGAAATAGACCTTGACATTTGGGAGTTGTAGTTGCTGGGATTTATAGTTTACCTACAATGAAAGAGGTTTGGTGGGCATTGACCTTGAGTTTTGGAGTTGTAGTTCATCTACATCCAGAGAGCACTGGGGTCTCAAAAATGGTAAATCTGGACCAAACTTGGCATGAATACGCAATATGCCCAAATGTGAACACCTGTGGAGTTTGGGGAAAATAGACCTTGAAATTTGGGCGTTGTTGTTCCTGGGATTTATAGTTCACCTACAATGAAAAAGTATTCTGAACCCCACCAACGATAGAATTGGGCCAAACTTCCCACACAGCATCCCCATGCTGTGAAAGGACTCATTGGTGCAAGCCTCCCTCCATCCTCACATGTTTTCCCTCACACGCACATGCACACCACCCTGCTATGTGCCAAGCACGCCTGCTCTCTCTTTCCCGCTTGGAGTCTCAGAAACAGCCCTCCCCTTGGCTGAGAGGCTGGCCAGACAGAGGATTCACCATCTGTATTGTCGAAGGCTTTTATGGCTGGAATCACTGGGTTGTTGTAGGTTTTTTGGGCTATTTGGCCATGTTTTAGAAGCATTCTCTCCTGACGTTTCCCCTGCATCTATGGCAATCATCTTATGGATGCTTGCCATAGATGCAGGTGAAACGTCAGGAGAGAATGCTTCTAAAACATGGCCATATAGCCCGAAAAATCTACAACAACCCAGATTCACCACCTGTTTCCAAAAATGAAGATGAGGACAGGCGGAGAGATCTCTTTAGCCTTCTCTGCTAAAGGGGTTCCTAAGGCCAACAAAAATAGGTGTTTTTTGTTGGTCTTTGGCGACCCCTCTGAAAACCCCCCTCATGACCCTCCCCCCAGGAGTCCTGACCCCCAGGTTGACAAACACTGCCCTAGAGGCTGCCAAATGTGTTGTGATTAATTTTATGTTCTATACTGGGGAAAGAATAATATTTCAGAGGGATAAAAATGGAGCATGGCAACTCCTAAAAATCTATGTGTTGATCAAAAATACTTTTTCAGGTACAACTGTAACCGCTACAATGAGGATGATGCAAAGGCAGCAAGAGATGCCCAAGAGGTGAGTCCATAACTCTTGCTGACCAAGATCATGTGAAATTCTGTAAGACACTTTGAATTGTCTTTCCATTCGCATTGAACGTTGAGCACTATACTCAGCCCTCCACATTTGCTGCGGTTAGCGCAAGACCACCGCAAGTGTGGAAAACCTCCAAAGGGGAAAATGCCATTTTTTTAAAGCCTGAGAGAACACCTCTCTAATAATTTTTAAGTCTTGCAGCACGACTTCACAGGAAGTTGGCCATAGAATTGCACTGGAGGACTAATAATAATAATAACAACAACAACAACAGGAAAAGCTGACACGATATGATGATTTAAAGATCAAACTGCAAAGACTTTGGCACAAGCCAGTCAAGGTGGTCCCAGTGGTGATCGGCACACTGGGTGCAGGGCCTAAAGACCTTGGCCTGCACTTAAACACAATCGGCTCTGACAAAATTACCGCCTGCCAGCTACAAAAGGCCACCTTACCGGCATCTGCACGCATTATTCGCCAATACATCACACAGTCCTAGACACTTGGGAAGTGTCCGACATGTGATCCAGTACAACAGCCAGCAGAGTGTCTGCTGTGGACTCATCTTGTTGTGTTTCAAATAATAATAATCTTTATTTATACCCCGCCACCATCTCCCCGAAGGGGACTCGGGGTGGCTTACGTGAGGTCAAACCCAGTAATGCATTAAATAAAACCAAAAACACAAAACAAATATCGCAACAAAGCAATTAAAACATAAGAATACAATAAAACAGCCGCCCCTCATAGGGCTTGTTCTCCAGACCCTTGATCATTTTAGTTGCCCTCCTCTAGACATATTCCAGCTTGTCAACATCTCCCAGCTCTTGAAGCTCCTCATAGGGCTTGCTCTCCAGACCCTTGATCATTTTAGTAACCCTCTTTCTCAGGACACATTTCATCTTAGAGTCAATATCTCTCTTCAGTTGTGGTGCCCAGAATTGGACACAGTGTGGTTCCAGGTGTGGTCTGACCAAGGCAGAATAGAGCATGGGGAGCATGACTTCCCTCGATCTAGACACTAGATTCCTATTGATGCAGACCAACATCCCATTGGCTTCACAATAACATAGTCTAGATCAGTGGTTCTCAACCTTCCTAATGCTGCGACCCCTGAATACAGTTCCTCATGTTGTGGTGACCTCCAACCATAACATTGTTTTTGTTGCTACTTCATAACAGTCATTCTACTACTGTTATAAATCATAATGTAAATATCAGATATGCAAGATGTATTTTCATTCACTGGACCAAACTGGGCACAAATACCAATGCACCTACATGTAAATGCTGGTGGGGTTGGGGGAGGATTGATTATGTAATTTGGGAGTTGTAGTTGCTGGGATTTATAGTTCACCTATAATCAAAGAGCATTCTGAACTCCACCAGCGATGGATTTGAACCTAATTTGCCACACAGAACTCCCATGACCAACGGAAAACACTGGAAGGGTTTGGTGGGTATTGACCTTGAGTTTGGGAGTTGTAGTTCACCTATATCCAGAGAGCACTGTGGACTCACGCATGGTGGATCTGGACCAAACTTGGCACAAATACTCAATATGTGCAAATGTGAACACTGGGAAAATAGACCTTGACTTTTGGGAGTTGTAGTTGCTAGGATTTATAGTTCATTACAATCAAAGAACATTCCGAACTCCACCAATGATAGAATTGACTCAAACTTCCCACATGGAATCCCCATGACCATCAGAAAATACTGTGTTTTCTGATGGTCTTTGGCGACCCCTCTGACACCCCTTCGCGACCCCCTCAGGGGTCCCGACCCCAGGTTGAGAAACACTGGTCTAGATTGAGAGAGAGTGAGGTCAGTAGAAGGTCACCAAGGAATTCCGTGGCTTGAATCAGGATTTTCTCTTGTTCCAAATCCATATGTGGACTCTGTATTGTTCTAGACAGAATGACTTTTCGTTCCTGTATTGCGAGACCAATCTCTGCCTCGAGCATCTATCTGATGGTGCGGCCTGCCTGGTATTACTCTGTTTTAACTATTGATTTCCCTTTTCCCCCTAATGGGAATTAACGCAGCGATCCAGAGCAGCCCTGCAGAGGTACCTCTTCTACTGCAACCGTTACATGAACCACATGCAGAGCCTGCGTTTTGAGCACAAACTCTATGCCCAAGTCAAGCAGAAAATGGAGGAGATGCAGCAGCACAACATGTCCTGGATCGAGGTCCAGTTCCTGAAGAAAGCAGTCGATGTCCTCTGCCAGTGTCGTGCCACACTCATGTACACTTATGTCTTTGCCTTCTACCTCAAAAAGAATAACCAGTCCATTATCTTTGAGGTAAGGAGGGGCAGCCGGGCATCTTGGAACGCGTATGCATTTATGTCTCTTCTTCCTATCCATCCGTGGTATTCGTGACAGTGGTGGGACTCTGTTGGGTGAAGGGCAGAGGCACACATTGTCATCCAAAAGTGGATTCTTCTTCAGAGATGTTCTACAAGGTTCTCTTCCAGTAGGCTCAAATCCTATGTAAAATCATACTTTTGTAATTTTTTTTGAACTACATTTTTATTTTAATATTTAAAGAGTAAGTAAATATATTTATTTATTTATTTATTTGCCTTACTTATATACCGCTGTTCTCAGCCCGAAGGCGACTCACAGCGGTTCACAACAAATACGAACAGCAAAAATTCAGTGCTACAGTATAGAAACAGTTAACAACCTAACACATTACACAATTAATAAACAGTTACTACAATACCCATTCACTGTCGTCTCGTCATCAAAAACATGTTCCAGATTCGTCATCCATTGTTCCATTCCAGTGTTCATTAACCAATCATTGCACTAATTATTGGAACGCCTGCTCAAACAGCCAGGTCTTCTCTTTTTTGCGGAATACCATTAGAGATGGTGCTAGTCTAATGTCCGTAGGAAGGGCGTTCCACAGCCGAGGAGCCACCACCGAGAAGGCCCTATCTCTCGTCCCCGCCAGCCGAGCTTGAGAAGCAGGCGGGATCGAGAGCAGGGCCTCCCCGGAAGATCTCAAAGTCCTGGTGGGTTCATAGGCAGAGATGCGGTCAGATAGGTAGCTTGGGCCGGAACTGTTTAGGGCTTTAAAGGCCAACGCCAGCACTTTGAGATAATTCTAAGTAAAGAGCGGGAACAATTCTGTTTAAAGAAAAGTAGGAAACAATGAAATAAAAAGAAAATGAAAAAGAAGAAATAGAAATAGAAAAAAACAGTTCGTGACTTTCTTCTGATTCTTCGCGAGTTCAACTTTATAGTCCATTAAATCTTCCAAGTTATAAAAAATGAAAAGAGAAAAATATATTGAAGCCCGGGGTTTTGCCACTCTTGTATCCACTTATTATATAGTTCAGTATCAGTTTCCTCTATTTCTTTTTTCTATATATTTCTCCACTTGTGACCAGTCTGTTTGTTTAATTGGGTTACTTCTTTTCCTCTTTAATAAGAAAGTTAATTTATCCATTTCTTTAATTTCATTTATTTTTATTAGCCATTGGTCCCTTTCCGGTATTTCCTTCTGTTTCCAAACTTTCACATATAGTATCCTAGCGGCTGCCGTTAGATATATAAACAAAATATCTTCATTTGAGTCTATTTTAATGTCCCCGTCAGTAATTCCTAATAGGAAGTACTCCGTTGTTTTGTTTTTTTTTTGGAATTTGCTGCTGAATACGTATGCCCAGTGTGGAATACATCTCACCACGTTAAAACAGTGGCATGCCATATTATCACAAGCTGTCTATGTCCTATACCACTGGATATGTCCTATACCACTGGATAAATTATACTGTTTAGCTGGTATCGCACCACCTGACATCCGTTGGGAAGTAGCAGCCTGTAATGAAAGTACCAAGGCAGTGGCATCTCTGGCCCATCCTCTGCTTGGGTATCAGCCAGCATGCCAACGCCTTAAATCAAGAAATAGCTTCCTAAGATCTTCAGAGATACTCGCAGGAACACCTCAGCAAGCGAGAGTCCAAAAGTGGCAGGCTGAAACCCGGTTACCAGATGAGAACACCTCCGACACACAGAAAACTGAGTGACTTGGAAAGCTCTGAACAGACTGCACTCTGGCACCACGATGTGCAGAGCCAACCTTAAGAAATGAGGCCATAAAGTGGAATCCACGACATGTGAGTGTGGAGGAGAGCAAACCACAGACCATCTGCTACAATGCCACATGCACAATGGAGGACCTTCTCAAAGTGATACCAGAGGCACTCCAAGTGGCCAGCTACTGGTCAAAGGACATTTAGTATAACTTTGTTTGTGTTTTAAATACATTTCAACTGTACCCGCAATTTGCGTCTGATGTGATAAATAGTAGCTGGAGGACATCAAGTCTACTATTTTTGCTGGAGATCAAATAACCACAAAAAAGCACAAATGAGACACATTACTAAAGTCTGTGTCTTGCTGCCCAGTTTTGGGTCTACCGTAAAGGGTCTGAGTGTTGCCTGGAAGGGCAGAAAGGCCTGCAGTGGTGGCTCACCCACCCTGGATTTCTCTTCTCCTTGCATGTTCCTGGCTATCCAGTTTCAGACTATCGTGAAATGTGTTTCAGCTTTTCTTCCAGCATCATTCTTTTCCCCCTATTGTCTCTTGATTCAAAATTGCCTAGTTTTTAGTGTTTGTCTTATTTTTTTCCCCTTTCTAGAATAATCAGGCAGATTTGGAAAATGCTACCGAGGTCCTTTCTGGGTATCTGGAACGAGATATATCCCAAGATTCACTGCAAGACATAAAGCAGAAAGTGCAAGATAAGTACAGGTACACTCCTCTTTCAGATCGTGCTCTTTCCTCTGTTTCCAAAGAAGTCCCAAAAAGTACCATTGTAGTGGCAAGGCGTGGCATGGGGCATTTTTGAGGACAGGGGCTTGGTTGGTTGGTTTGTATTGGTTGAGGGTGAGGATATTATTACTAACTACAACTCCTACCATTCGCTCTGGCACCATAACCATGCTTATAACTTCAACAGGTAATCATTTAAGCTGTTCTTATACACAGTGATGGTTGGTTTTCCACATTTGCAGATTTTACTTTTGAGGATTAACAAGTTCTCCATGGAAATCTGTAGATCCTCTAGTGCAGTTATGAATTGTGCAGTGGGAGTTGAAGTCCAAAACATCTGGAGGTCCCAAGTTTTTGCCCATGCTTGCTCTAGTGTGAGACTATGGCAGGTCTGTATGACCTGCCTCCTTCCAGGTGTTTGGGACTCCAACTCCCAGAAGCCCTACCCAGTTTGTCCAATGGTCAGGAGTTCTGTGAGCTGAAGTCCAAAACACCTGATGAGCCCTGTTCTGTGGAAAATATCTGGCAGAGTTTGACCATTTTATTTATTTATTTACAAGCCTTATTTGCCGCTCTTTTCACTCCGACGGGGACTCAGAGCAGCTTACAAGATATATATACATACAATATATTATATTATTAGCATTGTACATTATCAGTATTATATTTTACCGGGATTGTGGCGCAGCTGGCTGAGTGTCAGCTGCATTAAGATCACTCTGACCAAAAGGTCATGAGTTCGAAGCCAGCCCGGGTTGGAGTGGGTTTCCAACCAATTGTGTGTAGCCTGTTGTTGACCTTTGCAACCTGAAAGACAGTTGCATCTGTCAAGTAGGAAAATTAGGTACCACCTTGTGTGGGGAGGCTAAATTAACTAATTTATGAGGCCATAAAAAAGACTCCAGCAAAGCACTCCAGCAAAAGCATGCGGGGAATGCGGAAGTACTTCATCAGTGTCGCAGATGGACGATGAAAGCGACAGCTCCCCGGTGGCCAGAAAAAGTTAAATAGCCTCTGTGTATGTCTGTATACGTTGTATGTTAAATTGGCATTGAATGTTTGCCATATATGTGTACACTGTAATCTGCCCTGAGTCCCTTGCTGGGTGAGAAGGGAGGAATATAAATGCTGTAAACAAATACATAACTAAATATTACTATATTGTACTATACCATTATATTGTAATATTATTAGTAATATTACATGTAATATAAATATATAATTATAATATTGTATTAATATTAGTAGTGTTATATTGTCTTACATTACAATATTATAAATATATATACAATATATTAGATAACATTATTTTATATTATATTATTAGTAAAGAACAGGAAACAAGATGGAACTGTCTTCTGCCCCCCTCTCTCTTCAAATTATGTTTGTTTCCCACCTCTCGTTATAGCTCAAGGCAGAGTAGAACTCAGTTAAAATAAGCAGATCAAACCCAACACTATTAAAACCCATATACCAAAATACACCCAAGGCCAACACCAATACAATGCAGGTTAAAATTCACAGAATAATAATACATTTATTTCTAGGGAGAATACCATATTTTGCCACATACCATATTTTGCGGAATGGGAATGTGATTATTATGCGTTGGTGACTATTAAGCAATGAAATGCAGTATTGCAGTAGGCGCATGTAGTCACTGCAGCGTGATTCTTTGCTCAACGCATAGAAATTGGATTATAGGGTTATGCCAGGGGATTATTATTACTACTACTACTACTACTACTACTACTACTACTACTAGCCGTCCCCTGCCACGCGTTGCTGTGGCCCACATGGGGGTTCTGTGTGGGAGGTTTGGCCCAATTCTATCGTTGGTGGGGTTCAGAATGCTCTGTGATTGTAGGTGAACTATAAATCCCAGCAACTACAACTCCCAAATGTCAAGACTCTATTTTCCCCAAACTCCACCAGTGTTCACATTTGGGCATATTGAGTATTTGTGTAGAGTTTGGTCCAGATCCATCATTGTTTGAGTCCACAGTGATCTCTGGATGTAGGTGAACTACAACTCCAAAACCAAAGGACACTGCCCACCAAACCTTTCCAGTATTTTCTGTTGGTCATGGGAGAACTGTGTGCCAAGTTTGGTTCAATTCCATCGTTGGTGGGGTTCAGAATGCTCTTTGATTGTAGGTGAACTATAAATCCCAGCAACTACAACTCCCAAATGACAAAATCTTTTTTTTTAGTGAAGGACATACATTGGGTTGTTAGGTGTCTTGTGTCCAAATTTGGTGTCAATTCGTCCAGTGGTTTTTGAGTTCTGTTAATCCCACAAACATTACATTTTTATTTATATAGATTAAAATTTATTTATACCCCGCTACCATCTCCCCTCAGGGACTCGGAGCGGCTTACCTGAGGCCAAGCTCAACGGATACAGTAAACAAATAAGATACATACAGCAAATAATAATTAAAATTAAAATCAAAATAGAAAAAAGTACAACCATAAAACAATAACATAGAAACAATAAAAGGAGATAACACAATGGGATATAACACCGGGTATAAAGTAAAAATAAGTTTAGAGATACGGAGTTAATCAAAGTGGGCTGGGCCAAAGTGCGAAGATAAAAACAAGGGATATAGGACAAGATAGGATAACCTAAACAATTTAACTAGTGGGAGGTACAGGAGGGACAAGCTGTGGAGTTTAATTACTTGCTAGGAATAAGGTGATGTGCATCAAGAAGACGAGTATATACTGGGACGGTCATGGCATGGGGATTATTGTTCATTCATCAAAAGCAAGGCGGAACAGCCTGTTGGGCGAGTGGGCTTTTCATTATGTTATTTTGCACAGTTTTTGTTACCCTGTTACTTTATGTATTTTTTTGTGATGTAATTTTTAGTTGTTTTGTATTTTATTTTGCTGTATTGTATTTTCAGGCTCGGGCTCATGTTAGCTGCCCCGAGTCCCCTTTGGGGAGATGGTGGCCGGGTATTATTATTATTAATAATAATAATAATAATAATAATAATAATGTATTGTCGAAGGCTTTCATGGCCGGAATCACTGGGTTGTTGTAGGTTTTTCCGGGCTATATGGCCATGTTCTGGAGGCAATTTTTCTCCTGACGTTTCGCCTGCATCTATGGCAAGCATCCTCAGAGGTAGTGAGGTCTGTTGGAAGTAGGAATATATATATAAACCCATTTTTCCTACTTCCAACAGACCTCACTACCTCTGAGGATGCTTGCCGTAGATGCAGGCGAAACGTCAGGAGAAAAATTGCCTCCAGAACATGGCCATATAGCCCGGAAAACGTACAATCTACTCGATCTGTTAATAAAATTATTATTATTATTATTATTATTATATTATTTGAAACACAACAAGATGAGTCCACAGCAGACACTCTGCTGGCTGTTGAATTGGATCACATGTCGGACACTTCCCAAGTGTCTAGGACTGTGTGATGTATCGGCAAATAATGTGTGCAGATCCTAGTAAGGTGGCCTTCTGGAGCTAACAGATGGTAATTTTGTCAGCGCCGATTGTGTTTAAGTGCAGACCAAGGTCTGTAGGCACTGCAGCCAGTGCCTAAATAATAATAATAATAATAAATATTTAGTGAGGCATTGTTGACTCTTCCGTTGTCTCCGCGTATTAGCCGTCGTGCATTGCCTTCAGAACTGCTTTGCAAAATACCACCTGACCTTCGGCTCTAACCCTCCTTTCCCCCCTTTTTGCAGATACTGTGAGAGCCGGCGGCGGGTCTTGTTGCAGCACGTGCACGAAGGCTATGAGAAGGACCTGTGGGAGTACATTGAGGACTGAAAGGGGCCTGCATAAAGCGAACTCTGAAAACCTTTTTTCCCATCTAGAGTGCTCATGCGATTAAAAAAAAAAAGCAAAACACACACACAAACAAACAAAAAAAGGGGGCACAACGCCTATTACACCGCTGGTCTGTAGTACCGGAATTCTGTTTTTGTTAAATGGAGAAAAGAATTTAAGTAAATTATATTGTAATAAAAAAAGGTAGCTAAACCATTGTACAACAGTATTCTAGGTGGCCAGTTAAGTGTGACAGACGCACGAAGAGAAAACAAAACAAGAGTCAACCCTCCAACTTTAACTTGTAACGTAGCTTCATTCTCCAAGCTGACTTCCCCCTCTCCTCCTTTCTCCTATGCGTATTACAGATGAAATTTAAAACAGTTTTCTTGACACTGCTTTTCATGTCCAACCAGCCATTTTGATGTACTTTGGTATGAGATTTCCTCCCTCCCTCCCTTCCTCCCTCCCTCCCTCCCTCCCTTTCCCTTTTCACACATGCACCGGTTCATGGGTGAATGTCGTTTGGCTAATTGTAAAGAGGATTTTGTGGGATGATTGGGGGGGCGGGGGAGGAGGGGCACACGGCAAGGAAAAAAATAAATAAACTTTGTATATGACTTTTAAAATACAAACAAAGAGGACAACACAGTATTTTTCAAAATTGTAAATAGCGCATATGCATGGACAAAAAAAAGAGCAAGCGTGGCACGTGTTTGCATAATGTTTAATTACGAAAAAAATATTTATTCTTTAAAGATCTTCAAGATGTCTATTTGCTGTGCATTTTTCTTTCAGTTTGCTTTTGACCTCTCGATTTGGGGACGGGGAGGGCAGGGCGACGACGACCTGTGCCGCTGTATCGAGACTCTTTCCCTCTTCGTTCCTCTTCGCTCTTCCAAGGCGTTTTTGGGTTTCTTTCTCCTCTTAACTGCAGCTCCTTCGCAACCCTTTCATGGTTTGGGTGTGTTCCTTGCTGGCAACGGACACTGTCCCATTTGCACTTCCGGCTCCCCTCCCCCGGACGCAAACGCAATTGACTTTGGTGTGCGTTGAGCCTTTGGAAACGAAAATGTTGTGATTCCGGCTGCTTTTTGTCTTTCTCTTTTTTCCCCTTTTTGCTCAGAATAGCCATTCTTTCTTGCTCATCCTTCTTCCCATTTCCATGCATGTCAGGTATCCCTTAGGAAAGCGTTAGGACATTTTCTCTGTGGGTCGAAGTGCTCAAATGGAACATTCCTTGTCGCTTTTGTCTCGTCGGTTTTGTAACAACAAAAGATGGGGTTGTTTGTTTTGGAGGCTGGGAGTTGGGGCGGGGGGGGGGAGCCCTGGCGTTGCAAATTCTCCCATTGAGTTGCAAGGACATGCAGTTGCTGAAGTCGTTGGGTATTTTCCTCCCGTTGATGGGAAGAGGGACTGCGTTTCAAGCGCGTGTAGTCCTTTAGAGTCCAAAACAACAAAAGATAGGACTGTTTGTTTCAAAGGCTGGGAGTCAGGGGGGGAAAGGCCTGGCGTTGCAAATGTTCCTATGTAGTTGCAAGGGCCTGCAGTTGCTGAAGTCGTTGGGTATTTTCCTCCCGTTGATGGGAACAGGGACTGCGTTTCAAGCGCATGTAGTCCTTTAGAGTCCAAAACAGCTGTTTGTTTCAGAGGCTGGGAGTCGGGGGGGGGGGGGGGGCCTGGCGTCGCAAATGCTCCCATTGAGTTGCAAGGACATGCAGTTTCTGAAGTCGTTGGGTATTTTCCTCCCATTGATAGGAAGAGGGACTGAGTTTCAAGCGTGTGTAGTCCTTTAGAGTCCAAAACAACTAAAGATGAGGCTGTTTGTTTCAAAGGCTGAGAGTCAGGGGGGGAAAGGCCTGGCATTGTGAATGTTCCTATCTAGTTGCAAAGGCCTGCAGTTGCTGAAGTCGTTGGGTATTTTCCTCCCATTGATGGGAACAGGGACTGCGTTTCAAATGCATGTAGTCCTTTAGAGTCAAAAACAACAAAAGATGAGGCTGTTTGTTTCGGAGGCTGAGAATCGGGGGGACTGCGTTTCAAGTGCGTGTAGTCCTTTAGAGTCCAAAACAGCACGGGATCTTTTTGTGGTTTTCTTATTTTCCCACCGCAGCAGTGTTTATGCTTTCGAGTTGAGAAAGAAAGAAAAAAGATCAGTTCAAGGAGTAGAAAAGAGAGAGGGAGATAATGTGTCGACGTTCAAGCCACTTTTTCATTACTTTTTCAAGATGGAGGGAAATCTATTCAGCATATTCTAGGATTGGGTTGTTTTAGGTTTTTTGGGCTATAAGGCTATGTTCTAGAAGCATTCTCTCCTGATGTTTCACCTGCATCTATGGCAGGCATCCTCAGGGGTTGATTTGACCTCACAACCCCTGAGGATGCTTGCCATAGATGCAGGTGAAATGTCAGGAGAGAATGCTTCTAGAACATGGCCATATAGCTGGAAAAACCTACAACAGCCCAGTGATTCCAGCCATGGAAGCCTTTGGCAATATATTCTAGGATTGCTTTAGATTGTCGTTTTTGGAACGTCGGCCGTTCTGTGCCACCTAGCAAAGGCTTGCCAGAATTGAAGAGAATGGCTGAGAGTTGGTTACATGTTTGGAAAAGGAAAATAATATTTTACTGAATGAGTGCAGGCTCTTGAAGTAACTCTTGCTTTGTATAACGGAATGATTAGGCAGATCTTCATTTTTTGCATCTCTTTTTAATGCGTGACAGGGCTTATTTCCTTGCTCGTAGGTCCCCTTTCAAAGCTGTTAGGAGGAAAAAGGTATTCCAGTAAAGCTGAACATGAATAAGAAATATTGCTTCCTTCAGAGGGATATATATGAGAATTCTGCTCTAAGTTGAGTGCTCGAATACCATTCTTCAGATTTTCTTTTTGCCCAAGATTGACTGAAAACTTCCCGATCAGGTTTTCTAACTCGTCGCCGTTTCCTCTCTTCTTTTTCCTTTTGTTTTGGCCTGGAACTGGGTTGATGGAACTGGTGGCCGTGCTGTGTTGGATGTGTATCTCGGATGAATGCGTCCATGCTTTCCGCCCCTCCCTGCGAACCCCCATCTTTCCGAACACCTTGCTCTTATCACCCCATTTTCCGTTTATAAACAAATCACACAAACCAAACTGTATATAAAATGTGCCGCATCTTCACGCATTGAGGATGGCACACTTTGTCCTTTTTTTTTTTTTTTTTTTTTTTGGAGGGGTGATTTAAAAAGGCTTTGCCAATCTGAGTGGATTTTGGACACTGAAACTCTTGCAAAGGCTTGCTCGTTGGTTCTGAAACCACGCCCCCCACCCCTTTCTTCTTTTCTACCCTTCAAGTAATCCCTAAAGCAAATACTTGGCAATGAAGATGCTACTCTCAAGCTTTGGTTGGTGCAATATGCGAAAAATAATGATTTCATGTTAGGTATCATGATTGAACGACAGGCGCAAAAGCAGGAGAGCGGCGCACAGTCTGCATTTTGCACCCGCTTTCTTCTGTTTCACATAATTCACCGCAGCTTTTTTTTTGTGGGGGGTGCGAGGAGTCCTCTGGTAGTGTATGTATCAGGCAGTCTTAATTTTTCAGTTCGAACCAGTTAACCCTGAAATGTTTTTTAGTACAATACTGCTGTATTAGAAACCAGTTATTGTGTGAGGCGAGAGCAGTGCTCTTTGGAGGACCTGGTTCAGGAGGACCCTGTAAATCCAGCGCTTTTTTGGAGTGGGGGTCGGAAGACAATCGGATGGCTGTGACTGACAGATGAACTTGTAATCCTCTCGTTTTCCTCTTCCATCTAGAGAGCACCTCATGCTGTGGACATAACTGTTCTTAGACTTCATTGTAACTGCTGGACTGTTCCGTGTTAAGGCTAAACAGAGGGAGAGAAAGTGTTCCTAATTCTAATAAACTTTTATTTTGTTATTTCATTAGTTTTTTTTGTGTTTGCTTGCAGTAATTTGTGTTGCGCAGCAGCGGATTTTACCCAGCACCCAAAGTCCAAATGCAATAGACTCACAGACAACAACAACAATAATAACAATAACAATAGTAAACTTTATTTATACCCCACCACCATTTATTTTATTTTATTTATTTACTATATTTGTATACCGCCCCTCTCAGCCCGAAGGCGACTCGAATCATAGGATCAAAGAGTTGGAAGAGACCTCATGGGCCATCCAGTTCAACCCCCTGCCAAGAAGCGGGAATGTTGCATTCAAATCACCCCTGACAGATGACCATCCTGCCTCTGTTTAAAAGCCTCCAAAGAAGGAGCATCCACCACACTCCGGGGCAGAGAGTTCCACTGCTGAACGGCTCTCACAGTCAGGAAGTTCTTCCTCATGTTCAGATGGAATCTCCTTTCTTGTAGTTTGAAGCCATTGTTCCGCGTCCTAGTCTCCAGGGAAGCAGAAAACAAGCTTGCTCCCTCCTCCCTGTGGCTTCCTCTCACATATTTATACAAGGATATATATTTATATTATTTATATTTATAAAAGGATATATATTTATCGAGGTGGTTTACATTTGGCAATCAATGCCCCACAAAATAAAATACAGTCAAAATAATTACATATAAAATAATCATGTAAAAACAATAAACAAAACCATAAAATACAAATCTCAGCCTCTCATTGTTAAAATCATTTTCCCTCGCATCGTCATGTCATTTCATGAGTCTCAATCAGTTATACTGCATCTGCAAATGCCTGCTCAAATAACTCTTTCGAAATGTCAAGGGGGAGGGGGCCAATCTAATGTCCCTAGGGAGAGTGTTCCATAGCCGAGGGGCCACCGCTGAGAAGGCCCTGTCTCTTGTTCCCGCCAACTGGATCTGCGAGGAAGGCAGGACCGAGAGCAGGGTGTCTCCGGACAATCTTAAAACACCTAGATGGTTCATAGGAAAGAGATGTGTTTGGACAGGCAAACCAGGCCAAAACCATTTAGGACTTTAAAGGCTAAAGCCAGCACTTTGAATTGTGCCCGGTAGCAAACTGGCAGCCAATGGATCTGGCGCAACAGGGGAGTTGTGCGCTCCCTGAGTGCCGCTCCTGTTAACAACCTGGCTGCTGTCCGTTTGATCATTTGAAGCTTCCGGACAAAGGCAGCCCCACATAGAGAGCATTGCAGTACTCTATACGGGATGTTTTTAACACTTTATTAAAAGCTGCTAAGGTAGAGGCTTGCTTAATCTCACCTGGTAATGAGTTCCAGAATCAGGGGGGCCACAGCGGAGAAGGCTCTCTCCCTCGTACCCACAAGTCGTGCCTGTGAAAGGGGCGAGAGGAGAGCCTCTCCAGAGGATCGCCCTCCATTGCTGCACGTGGCTCCAGTTCCCGCGGCCTGTGGGGAGGAGCAGCGGACCCTTCACTCCCCCCACCCCGCACTGAGTTTTCGTGCCAGAAGCTCGGCCTGCCCCACAGCCTGCAGGGAAGGCAGGGGGAGTGCAGCGGTGGACCTCTTTGCTCCCTCCTCCCCCCCTCCCCCCGTGCTGCTTTTTGGGCTCAGTTTGGTAGTTCGGTTCAGATCCAAACTGGCAGAGGGGCCCCGGCAGCCATTCTAGGGAGGTGGAGGGGGCGGGGCCTAAGGAGGCCATATTGCGACCCCTCGAAAATTGCCTCGCGACCCCTCTAGGGGTCGCGACCCCCAGGTTGAGAAACGCTGACCTAGATGGTTCATAGGAAAGAGATGTGTTTGGACAGGCAAACCAGGCCAAAACCATTTAGGACTTTAAGGGCTAAAGTCAGCACTTTGAATTGTGCCCGGTAGCAAACTGGCA